AGGCCAATGAGAGTCAATAAGAGTGACAACAAGGCCCCCATATTATTATAAGGGTGGTTTTAAAGTTCCTTATGCCAGGCATATCTACTATGCCTATACCTATCAGATATAGCACCAAAGTATATTGTGTAAAAACAGTGAATACAAATAATATATGATAATACTTAACTTTGGGCACAAAAACAACAGCCTCCCAAGGTCGTTACCCAAAGATGACCCGAACCAACAGAAATATACCGAAACAGAACAATTCGGGATACGGCTGTATGAATCTACAAAGGGATATATAAAACACAATAGTGTAATATTGTAACAAAACAATATAATGTGCAACAATATATGCACTCACTGGATGTAGACAAATATCAGAGTGTTAGGGTGCCTCCCCCGGTGTAATGGGGGGCTAGGAAATCCTTCTTTCACTTCTGGACAATTACTCCACCACAGGACTTCACCAAGTAGGGTAAAATCAATGAATAAACTTATTGGATAAGAAAAATAAGCAGTCACCATTAAGCATAGGATATATATAGTAGCAGAGAATCCTACGCGTTTCGTTCAGAGAACTTCTTCAGGGACCGCAAGAAAAACAGTATCTGTATTACAAATACATGTAAAAAACAAGCATATAGTACCATCTACTATGCCTACCTGTGGCCAGTATTACATTTTAAAATATGAAGTGGACATGTCAAGGCAAGTCTCAAGAGAAGTGAGGTTGGGTTTTCCAGTTTTTTCCGCTTTGAAGACTTGGTCGGCAGAGAGACATCACGGAGGGAAAATGTTTTAGTTTTTTTTCTTTGTGGTTTTGAATTTTTCCAGCATCGCAGGATTGTTTTTTTTAATTTGGTCTTTTTGGGAGTAGATAAGGAGATTTACAAGAAAGAAAACTTCAGATGGTAAGATGTAAATTTATGAGATATTATAGTGTCAAAATGCAGATATGCCAATTGTATTAAAAATAGTATAACATTTTCATTCATTCAATTACAGGGACAAAGTTCTAACCCTCACAGCGCGCAGCACCATCAAGAGGCTCCCCTCCTCTGCCATGAGAGCTAAAACAGCAGGGAGGGGGCCTTGCATCTGTATGTATACAGAGACGGCTCTACTTTCACCTAGGATGCCGGCTCTGTAAGGGGAAGATGCTGAGTGCCATGTCTTTTCTACCCTACTTGGGAAAGAGGGAGGAGAAGACATGGAATGAAGGGGTAGTGGGGTATGGATGGAAGGGGCAGGGAGTTCTGGATGGAAGGAGCAGGGAGTTCTGGATGGAAGGGGTAGGGAGTTATTATTATTATTTTACTATTTATATAGCGCCATCAGATTCTGTAGCGCTGTACAATGGGTGGACTAACAGACATGTAATTCTAACCAGACAAATGGACGTACAGGAACAGAGAGGTTGAGGGCCCTGCTCAATGAACTTACATTCTAGAGGGAGTGGGGTATAGTGACACAAAGGGTAAAAGTAGGGGTACGAAGTAGGTTGTTAGAAAAGTATTCACTGAGCGCTTAGTAGGTAATTTTTGACAGTTGCAGGACAGGAGTTATGGGGGTGGGGGATAAAAACCTGCTAACAGTTTAATTGATATGCTTTTTTGAAGAAGTGAGTTTTCAATTATTTTTTTGAATAAGTGGAGACTGGGTGAACGTCTTATGGATGAAATGGGTGGGGGGAGTGATATGGGTGGAAGAGGTAGGGGAGGTATGGTGAGGAGAAATATGGATGGAACGGGTAGGGAGTTATAGATGCAAGGGGAGAGATATGCAAGAAAGGCTTAGGGAGTTATGGATGGAAGGGGAGATATAAGAAAAAAAGGGGTAGGGTGGTATGGATGGAAGGGATAGGGAGGTATGGGGTGGGTATGAATGGAAGGGGAGATATATGGACGGAAGGGGTAGGGTGATATGGGTGGAAGGGGGGAGGCAGACAGGGGGGGGGAACTGTTGGCGAAACCAGCCCCTGCCTGGTGTGCAAAAATCAGTTGTCAGACTGACAAGTGATTTTTTCACTCCCCTCTGTCTGCATCCCCCATCAGCATGCAGCTCCATTAGGGAACCGCACACAGACTTAGGTAGCTGTGGAGCGCTTCCCCCTCACGCTCTGCGTAGGAGCGCCGGGTGTCACGTGACTACCTGGCGCTCAGTGTGAAAGAAGGGGAGACACATGGATGGAATGGGTAAGTGGACATTGAGGGGAAGAGACATGGATGGAAGAGGTAGGGGGACATAGAGGGAAGGGGAAAGAGATATGGCTGGAAAAGGAGGGGAGGAGAGACATGGCTGGAAGGGGAGGGGGGCATGGAAAGGGGAGAGACATGGCTGGAAGGGGGGAGAGATGTGGGTGGAAGGGGAGGGGGACATGTTTAATGGATACATATAATTTATACAAATTGGTGGAATACTCACATATTGCATCAGGAAAATCACCTAAGGCAACACTTTTCATGTGCTGTTCCTCACTATCAAGTGATTTATGTTCAGGAGAACAAAGTTAATATGTAAATGGATTTTTGCTACTGGCCATTGTTCCTTACTAAGAGGTTCTCCTATATATGATTACACATCTAAGCATTCATATTTCATAAGTCATTCATATTTCATTCATAAGTCAGGAAGGGCGGTCATTTTTCACGTTCGTCTATATATTAATTTTTGCCACGCTTATGTATATTTGTAGGATTATTCGCTAAGTGAATGGATGTGAACTCAGTGAATGCAAAGAGTATTTCAAAATCAAGACCAAGTTAATGTAACAAGAATTTTAAGTGAATTCAAAGTGAATTTTACATTTAAATCCAAAATAAAATAGCCAAAGTGGAAATTTCCATAAGTTGGCTATGTTTCCAGTGTTGCTGCTATAACCTTCAAATCACGTTGAATTCCCGAAAATGTTCACTTTATTGAATAAATACCTTTTGAATGTTTTCAGGAGACCCTCCCATTATAAAGTCTAAATTATTTAACTCGAAATGCTTTATACTTGATAAAGGGGAGAATATCCAGAAAGCTGGTTTGATCCCGTTCATCAACTTTGGCCTTAAATTCAAACATCACTTTGAATTCCTGGCAGTCGAGTTAAAAAAAAAACCCAGTGTTTTGTTTAAAAAAAAACAAAAAAACTAAGAACAAATTACCTATGGAATGAGATTGAGAAAGAAGGTTTGCGTGCATGTGTAACAGGATTTTCTCAGGCAGTTAATGTAATGTTTGCCTTAACTTTGCGTTTCAGGAATTTCTATAGAAAGCATTTAGCTAGAGGTTGGATCTCTTTTATCTGTGTGACCTTAGCAGCAGCTTAAACACTGCTACGAAGAATACGGAAACATAATCATTAAAAAAGAAACCGGAGAGTATACCTTTAGACTCCCATAGTTTGGCTTTGTCTGAAATTTCTATTATTCAGATTTGTATAGCTGGATTTAGGACATTTAAAAAGGGGATATTAAATATAAAAGCCCTACAGTCATATAGACTCATTGAAAGCGATATTGGAAAAATAATATTGCAGTTATGGATAGATGCCTAGACAAGATATCACTTGCCATATTGGCTTCACTGTGTGGGAAGATATCGTTTTTGCAGAAACGGCTGTTTGTAGTTTGCGGTTTGGTTGTAGTTTGAAAGTTCTTTGGAGCAGGGCTTACTTTACCTCGAGCGTCTCAGAACAATATTTTTGCCTGTAAATGATTTATTGTTAAATATTATTAATATTATTATCAGGGCTGAAATGTTCCACTTGCACACTCACTATATACGAGTGAAAATTCAGCCCTGGCGAGTAGAAATTCACAGGAATTTGCTGGAAGGCTCAAGTGCAAACATATTTTTGGTCTAAATTTATATATATATAGTACACAATAAAAGGCAGGTTGTGGTGCAAGGTTCTACCTCACAATGACACACGTGCAATATATTTTGATAAGACCCTAACAGGGGAGCGCCAAAAAAGAAACAGCCTCCAACCCTGACAATAAAATGAAAATGGACCTCTATTTCTTCATCCCCAAAAGACACAGGTAGTAGATATAGGACAGAATTAGATGAAAACCTGGAACACCGTCTAATATGTTATGTTCTGTAAGCATTCTTCATTCTCTGACACACAGCATTTTGTTTTAATTTAGTTTTATAAAGTTTATATTATATAGGGTTTAGGTATATTGCTTTTATTAGCAGGTGGAAACTTGGGCCACAGATAACTGCAGAATTAATTGTGCTAAGAGTGCCAATATTTGGACGCAGCTGGAATTTTCTCATTAAGAGAACGAAACTCCTTTTAGACAATAATAGGATTTTCATTTTCATTATACACACAGTGAATTCTCGCTACCTAGAACAAACAACTTCTTTTTTTATCAAGCACTTTCCTGATTGTGTTTGTTGCTCTCTGTGGGTCTTAATACAATGAAACCTGGGGAAACAGCCCCCAATATATGCATGGCACAAAACTAAGATAGTCTGTTTAGTCAACCAGGCAAGAATGCAATTCCTTGATGTTGAGTTTTATATGAACAATATTTTACATAAATGACTTTATTTTTAAACAAAGCTGGTTTTAAAATCCTAGTATCTTAGTACCCCCAATGAATAACCATATTTGTAACCTTGCAATCATAGATGGGTAAAGAAAAATCAACTTCTGTATGTCATAACTAGCCAGTGTCCCTCTGAAGTAGCCGATCGGCACCTTCTAGCACGATAAACACTAATGCAGATATCTGCCATGCCTTTTAAGTCAGTGATGTATTAGTATTTGCCCTACACACCTTATGTTATATTTTCCAAACCAATGGTTCAGGTTCTAAGGATTAACCAGTTGTCTTTCAAAGGAGCCATGAATAAAATATGGACTGTGATCCTTGACATTTGGTTTTAAAAGCATTGATCTATGCTATTTTACAAATTTCTGACTTAGAGTTAACCCACCCATTTAGCCACTCACTGAAAGGTTTTCCATTTGTTCATTAGACTCAAAAGAAAGATAGTTACACAAGTCATAACATTGAAATCATGGACCTTTATTTAATTTGGAAGTTAACTGTCATAACATTTTGAGTTAAGATGAGATAACACGTGTGTCGTTGTTTTCTGACACAACTTTTCCATCAATGATTTTCTGTGTGGTTGTGATCACTTTCTTGACAGTTTGTGTTGTTGATGCAGAGACTGCGTCTTGAAGGCTGCAAAGAGAGGAACATTTTAACATAACTGACTGGAGCACAAATTTTAATAGGGAGCTACTGAGAATTGATAGGTTACCACTATTCATTTAAACCTAAGGCCTTAAGCCTGCAAAGCTCTACCAAACCATCCATCCAATGGTTTGTTCCCATCCCACTATTCACTGATGACCTTACCAGAATAGGATACCCCTCATTTAAAAGAGCTAAACTTCTTGTACCATTTTCCAAACACCCTTAAATTGTGGATGTCTTCCTGTGTACAAAGTGTGCATTAAAGGGCTTTATCAAGACACCACAACAGACATGAACACAATATATATTTTTTCCTGCAAAGAAACTTACTCAAAGTCATCTCCTTCGAGAAGACGTCTGTATGTGTGGATTTCAGCCTCCAGCTTCATTTTGGTGTTTAGAAGAGACTGGTAGTCCTGTTGTTGTCTCTGACAGTCACTGCGGACTTGTCCCAGCTCTGTCTCAAATGCCTGTACATTTCCGCCAAGCATTTCTAGCTCCATTGCATACCGATTTTCTGTTTCGTGTAAGGTACCTTCAAGGTTAGCTTTCTGTTGGGTCAGAGAAAGCCATTAAGCATATGTTTTAACATATTTTCTATAAGTTGTACATGGCACTATAAACACAAGTTTATGGCTTCCTGCCATTATAGGTGTTCTTACCTGGTTGCGCAGAGCATCTAATTCTATTTCCAGGGACTGTAAGGTTCGTCTTAGTTCCGTTACTGAACTCTTTGCAGACTGAAGTTCTTGTGTGTCGTGTGTGATCTGCATAGTGTGTTCTTCCACCTGGCAAAGGGAGGACGTCAAAGGCATTATAAACATGTTGCATAATAAATTTACTGATTAGGAATAGCTCAAATATTACCATATTTTTTGTCAAGTACTAGTTAAACATATCTATATATATATTTTTAGGGAATTGCACGCCAGAGTTTAACTCACCTTTGACTGGTACCACTTCTCTGCATCTTCGCGGTTCTTTTGGGCGAGTCCGTCATACTGTGCCCGGATTTCTGCCATAACTTTGCCAAGGTCTTGAGTGTTGGGGGCGTCTACTTCAACAGTTACCGCAGAACCAGCAATCTGAGCTTGAAGAGCATCCACATCCTGCAAAGGGACGACATAGTTACATTAAGTTTCACATACAATATTACACAATGACTTTACTCTTCAAGTGATTGCGATAGTTGTTTAATGTTTTAAATAGAAAACATTTAAAAAATATATAATGTGCTGTCCCCTTTATATTTTGTAGATGCAGAATTTAGGAACTATGATAAAAATAAATATCTAATTTTTCTCTGATGCTGATTGCTGTACAAAGCAGCCAATGAACTAGAAATTACTCAAAATGTTGACATCATCTGATATGGATGGGACATCTGGTAGTTACGATTGTGTAGTTTATAATCCCAGCTTCTACCAGTATAAATGAGTGTTTAAAATGTTAATATTTATACAATGATTCACACTCTCTTGCCATCTTATGAATATATCATTTATAAGGACCTGAAATCTCTTCACAAAATCTTTTGATCCAACCCTCCTCCATATCCTGTTTCCCAGGTTAACTTACATCCTGGTGATTCTTCTTCAGGAAAATAAGCTCCTCCTTCAGAGATTCAATCTCATTTTCAAGATTGAGCCTGGTAACGTTAGTATCATCTATAACTTTACGTAGTCCATTGATATCTGCTTCCACCGACAGACGAATAGCCAACTCTGATTCAAACCTATTTAGACGAAAAAAAGAGTTATGATCCATCCCACCTTAACAAAACAATAAAATTCTGAAAGTTACTGACTTCCTCAATTTTTTTACAGCAACACACTAAAAGAAGGATCAATACTTACTTAACTCTGAAGTCATCTGCAGCCAGACGAGCATTGTCAATCTGCAAAACTAACTGGGAATTATCTACGGTACTGTCAAATACCTAGAGACGGGAGGAAAAATAAAATGTACTGTCAGAATGGGCACAAAACGAACACTGTGTAAACACTTTGAATGCTTTAGAAATAAAGACTTTGAATAATACTTTGGAATCCATGCAACTAGTGCACAGCAGAAAATATAAACGCTGTCAGTGAAATGTAATGGAAAACTGGTTAGGAGCACGATATTGGTAAATTATTGAATTGTCTGCAAGCGATTAACTGTGGAAGTTAATACATGATTTTTTTAAAACTAAAGTGGTGAAAAATGTTTTTCGAGCTCTGTGTGGATTTATAACGAGTAATCATAATTCGCAAAAGCTTAGACTGTCAGTAACAGGACATGATTAACCTCATCCTGCCCACATCCTATTCCTTTGGCTCTCTCCTATGCTCAGCACAACACCTGTTGGATTATGAAGCTGCCAAGTCAACAAGGGGAGTAGCAGTGAGATGTGATAGGTGCTAAGCACCGCTTGTCTATGTATACAGAATAAAGCTAAAGCACTGTTGCATCCTCCTAGACAATAATTTCAATTAATAACTGTATTTTTACAAAAATCTTATAGAATTGTAGCCCAAGTGGTCTTACCTGTTTCCGCAGGTCTTCCAACATTTGAAAGTATGGACTCCAGTCCTTGGTTGGTCCCTTCTTCTCCAAGTGCTGGCGAATTTGCAGCTCCAGTTTCTCATTGGCAGCTTCTAGGCTGCGTACCCTGTCCAGGTAGGATGCCAGTCGGTCATTCAGGCATTGCATGGTCTCCTTCTCATTCTGGACCCCTCCAATCAGGCTTCCTCCAGATGATGCATTGAAGCCACCTCCAAAGCCACCGCCAACCCCAGAGCCCACAGTAGATACCCTGGACACTGAGATGCGGGCCCCTGAGCCCCCTGCCCCAGCATGGACACTAGCAGAGCTGCTACCCGGTACATACCTGGGAGCAGAGCTCAAGGGGCGATAACTACTACCTCCCACTATGGAGTTTGAGGAATACACAGAGCGAGAGTAACTCATGGCTGCAGGGATAGAAGCTTCACACAGATCACACAGACCACTGGCAAAGGGCTGCTGGATACTCACTCCCTTTGTGAACAGAGGAATTTATACCCAAAGCTGAGCAGAGGGTGGGAGTGGAAGGGGGTTGGTTTATTTTCCCCTCCCAGTTTAGTTTCTTCCTGCTGCAAAGTATTGAAAGGGCGGAGATATATGGAGGAAGGTACAGGTTACAGGTTTCATGCTTGTACCTGAATAATCCTTAACAGCAGTCTAATCTGCTCACATACATATAACTAACATTATAATAAAGTGATTCAGAACTCTGCATTACAAAAACACTGGAAAGTTGAAAAGAGTGGTTAACACAGTATGAACATATGACTACAAAAAAATGCAGAATATGTAAGATCAGTTTTCCTAGTTATAATATAAGGAAGTGATCAACAAATTCATTCTTGTAAATATTTAACTTAATAAAAGGGAGAGCTGCAAATATCCAGTTCCATTTCACACGTCCTTCAGATAAAAAGTTGCTATTTTGTTTTAGTGCATTACAGGCTAATCTGTTATTGGTAGAGTGTAAACATATTCTGTACCTCTGTAAAATGTACAAAACTACTTTATATAAATAAATTGTTAAAGAGAAAAAGTGGTGAGGAGAGCACCAAATTGTGTTTCGAAAATATATATGCATTTTAAATTTGCTTATAATAAGTGTCTATGGGATGAGTACATGAAAAATGGCGACAATAGACAGGAAATTGCAACTTTTAAGTAAAAATAATTTAGGGAAAAAAGGTGTTTTGGATAATTTTTTAATTTTAGCTATTATAAAAGTCTCCATTCCCTTGTTCCCTGCAATTCACAGTTTAGTTGGATATATTTACTGAAACTCATTAATCCCTTCATGGTGGAGCTAGACAAATCCTTTCTTATCCTGATAGTCCTGATTTGATTAATTCTGATAAGCTTAATAGGTATTTTGCATTTTCTTATCGTTTATCAATTCTTTTATCTATTATGTTTTTGTTTTTTCCTGCTGTCAGACATGTTGGAGGGAATATAATTCATTGCTGCAACAAAAGGACCAAGGGGTTAAAATGTCGCAAGGTTTGATAAAGGCAAGAGTTTTCACTCCAGTGAGAATAAACTCTGGGTTTCTGTGTTCTCCTGTGAATGTGTATACAAAACAATGGGGGTTAGTCACCAACAAACAGAGAACTGACAAATGGTTTGAAACTGATGCTAAAATAACTTTTTTGGAAAACACTACAACTCATTTAATCTTTGGATCTTTTTTTTCCAACTTAGGTTCATGACCTAAATTTTGCAAGTTTTGAAACACACAACAAAAATTTTTTTACAGAAAATTTGCAAATTGGTTAATTGAGTACATAATGATACTCTCAAAGGCTTATTCACTAAAGTGTGAATTGTCAGAAACTTAAAGTACATTTTATTTTTTAGGCCAAAATAGATGATTTGGAAAAATTCCCAAAGTCAGCTATGTTTTCAGTTCGTTTATTTTATCCTCAATTTTTTAATTCACTTTGAAATCCCTGCAACAGACTCTGTTAATCTTAATAAGACACCGACTGAACTGTTAAGGGGTTAAAGAGCTGTCTCTGTAAATGATTCATACAGGAATAAACTACAGTACACCTGCTCCTGTGTTTCCGTGTCATGTCTAGGCCTAGCGGCACTTCTAAAGTGCCACACCTTCCATCACTTTCCTGGCCACACACTCTCACAATCTCCCCAGGACAGACATTTTATTTTTTAAACATGTAGTTTATCTAAAATTTAATAGGCTGAAATGTCAGTCTTTCTGCTGCAGGTGTCTAACTGTATAGTAGGTGATGAAAATGGTGCATTGTATTTTTTGTGTGCATTGGAGACTAGTCTCTCTGTGCAACAATAGCACATATTATGTGATACAATGAGATAAAGGTCAGTTTACAGTACAGTAGGTAGGAAAGATTTGCATTAAAAAGGGATTAAAAATTAGCACACAAAAAGAAACAAAAGGAGTCAAAATATCAGAACTGCCCAGATACCTGTGAGATGCTTAATATTAGCTCAAAGGGACATTCCAGACACCAAAACAACTTTATCTAAATGAAGTTGATATGGTGCCTGGAGGCCCCCGGAGGCACTCTTACAACTCTTGCCTACAGTGACAATGTTTGGTACTTTTCTTTCAAAGACAGTTTTGTGAATGAGGAGTCACTGATTGGCTGAGAGTGTCAGCTGACTGCTGTCGGCCAATCACTGGCGCCACTGCGCCAAGCTTCCTGAATCTGAAAATTCAGAAACCAGATGCTGGCTGGGATGAGTGGACCTTGGTTTAACCCCTTCAAGATTTAACCCGTTGAAGTAAGAGTTCCTCTGGGGACCTATGGCACCATAACAACTTAATTTATATTAAGTTGTTTTGGTGCATGGAGTGTCATTTTAATCTCTTATATTATGTAAAAACCAAAAGGTGGCCTCCTCTGTCACCTTGTACGCCGCTATCTTTTTAATTTAGCCATAAGTGTCTAACAGGCTAATATTTTGTTGATTTCTGACTTGTTCATTTTGTGCTTTGCAAATATTTGTAGATGAACGTACCTAACATTTTGCTGGCTATTTGGTCATCTGCTTTCTAGACTGTAAGCTCGTTTAAGCAGGGCCCTCATCTACCTATTGTTCCTGTGTCACTGTGTAATTGTCTCATTAATTGTAAATCCCTCCCCCCCCCTTTCATAATATTGTAAAGCGCTGCGGAATTAGTTGGCGCTATATAAATATCAATAATAATAATATGGGGCATTGGTATTAGATTATGGGCTATATATTCAGGGGTCACTATAACTGCTCCCTTCATCACATCAATCAAGATTCAGCCCCTAATAAGGGATCCGCAAACCCCAGCAGTATTTCAGTCAGAACTAGTATTAGCACTAAAGCTTTATGAAACTGTGTTAATAGCACCACATTATAGGCAACATTTTTCCACACATAGAGTGTTCTCAGATAAGTAAGTGTTTAGCCCTTTCAACATTTGATGTTAGCATCTATAACATTTTTATAGCAATAAAATGATTTGAGAAGACTTAAAAGAAATCGTTTTGGTACCAGTAAGTTTGCCGATCCTGCGGCGGTACTAAAGCCAGTCTCACAGATTTCGAGTGCACATAATACTTGTTCTACATCTCAAACTGCAACATACAATTGTGAAGGATTAGTTACTAAATTAAGCTGTGTGGTAGAACTATTGTATCTTTCTTTCTTGACAATGTATTCTATGCGATACAGTTCTTTTTCATTTGCTAATGCCAGTTTCAGTCTCACTGCATGCTGTAAGGCCTCAAACTCAAACTGCTTCAAAGATAATTAATTCATATAACATATGCCGGTTTCACATAGGGGCTAATGGAGCTGGATCTCCAGGCCAAGGCCCATGTAATTGAAAAATAAATAAATAAATAAATGTTTTTTGTTTGTCTGTTTTTACTACTCTTCACATGTTCTTGCATTGTGCAGAGGGAATTAAGTAGGAGAGATGTAGGGGGACAAAACATGTGTAGACTGGCTTACTATAAATTAGTTAAAGGGGCATTCCAAGCACCAAAACCACCTCTGCTAAATGAAGTTGTTATGGTGCCTAAACAATCCCTTTAAGGTAACGTTAACTCTGCACACTGTGCAAATGCTCTTGCTGCTTCACTCTTTCTAACAGTGTGACATGTCTCCTTAATGCTATGGTCACCACATGTTCTTTGTCCCAAGCTGCATACCAGGAATTTCAAAATTCATCCCTGAGTACATGTGTATTAGGCAATATGACTGTGGAAATGGTACACAATGTTATGCAGGCAGGTGAAAACTTAAAGGATCACTATAGTGTCAGGAAAACAAAGCGGTTTCCTGACCCTATAGTGCCCTAAATGGTGCCCCCACCCTAAGGGTCCCCCTCCTCTGGCGCTGAAGGGGTTAAAACCCCTTCAGCAGCTTACCTTAATCCAGCGCTGGTGACATCTCCTCCCCATCCGACATCAGCTCCCCCGACCGACGGCACTGAAGCCGAATGCCCATGAGCGGCATTTCTCAATGCTTTCCTATGGACGCTCTGCGCTATGGAGGCGAAATTTGCCTCCAGCGTCGCAGATGCGCCTCTAGTGGCTGTCCGGAAGACAGCCACCAGAGGCTAGATTAACCCCAAATGTAAACATAGCAGTTTCTCTGAAACTGCTATATTTGCATCTGAATGGTTAAAACCTGAGGGACCTGGCACCCAGACCACTTCATTGAGCTGAAGTGGTCTGGGTAACTATAGTGTCCCTTTAATCAACAACCTTGAGGCTTATGTGTCACTGTTTAAAAATGTAAAAACTTTACAACATTGAAACGTTAAAGGCAGATAACATCCAGCTGACCTTTTTGGGTCACACGTGTTTCTTTGTGCCAAAATATTGATACACATATTATTCCTTCAGCATGTTTGCCTCCAAATGTCTAATGTGAAAGGCTCCAAGAATACATTCTAGATATATACGTACTGTTTTTAAATAACAATGGAACAAAACAAAACTACTACGTCAAATTAATAACTCACTAAAAAAGTAAATATGCATAGATAATCAACAAGTCATCATAAGTTTAACAAGATGATAAGAAATACTCAGTATCAGAATGTTACATTATTTCACAATAAACTGATAAAACAGAACAAAAGATAAATATCACATTTATGAGGCCACAAGAGAGAGAGATAACATTGCATGAATGGTTCATATTTTAGACATGTTCAGCAGTAGGTTCTTGATTGAAACAGTCACATAGTTTATGAAATAATTTTCGAGGTGTAACAGAAAAATACTTTGAGGTACCTTGTTCTCTTTCAGCTACTGCCAGGCTAGGAATCTCAGGCAGTGACCCTAAGAGTTATTTATTTTTTGCCCTAGTGCAGGGATAGACAAATTTTGGCACTACAGATGTCGTGGGCTACATCTCCCTTGATGCTTTGCCAGCATTATGACTGTAAGAGCATTATCGAAAAAGATGTAGTTCACAGCATCTGGAGTGCCAAAAGTTGCCTACCCCTGCTCTAGAATGTTCCTTATTTGGAGTTTTCAAATCTTTAACATTAA